GTATGGAACTTGAAGTTCGGACCTAGAGATACTCTAGAAACAATTAAAAAAAAAACAGATGAGCTTAAAGTATGAAATATTGAGGACATCTTTTTAATTTCACAAATTAAAAATACTAATAGCGTAAATTTCCCTTTGTATTCGATGTGTCCTAACATATTGGCCTTTTACGACAAGAGTACCAAATACGTTAAACATAAAAATGTGTAATGTGTTGGACACTGATACGACGTATCTTAGATATGTGATCTCCAAAATCACTTTTACGAGGAAATCTTATATTATTGAGATTGATAATGAAGAGTTTCTTTTTATTGGTATTCTTATTTCGTAGGATGTGAGATATCTTGTTTTTAAAAAACCAAATTGTACATGAAATAAATATATAGCCTAAGGGTATAAGGATTTCTCTTTGTAATAGGATTCATAATCTTATATATATATATATAATGAGTGAAAAAGGAATACATGTGCCCTATTTGGATACCTCATGGGAAATGTGGACTTTCCACTAGAGAGAGATGAGCCTCTAGAGAGAAGTGAGCTTCTAGTGAGAGAAACGGTTTGCATGTGCGTCGTTTAGAGAGAAAGGTTTGTTTTTTATAAAGAAGTGATTCCTATCAGTATTTTAGTTAGTATCCTCTTTGTAGAGATAAAGTTGGTTTCTTGTTGTTCTCGCATCTCTATCTAGAGTGTCGGTAATAGTTGCCAAAAGTTAAAAGAAAAAAGAACGGCATGTGATGTTGGTCGGAGAGTAGTTTTAAGGGTTGTTTAACTGGTTATTGTCGATAGTAAGATTCCTTTTATATCCCAAAATCTGTAATGTAATTATCATTAATATAGTGAATTTCAGTTTGCCATACCCGTAGATGTAACCCTTTAGGGTAAACAACATAAAATTTTGGAGCTCTTTTTTGCATTATTTCTTTCATGCTTTATTTTTTTACTTGTAATTTGCTTATTGTCAATATTTTGTTCGCTATTTATTTGTCAAAAATCAACCTGTTAGGTTTTAGAACTTTTGCACACAAACAAATATATAGGTAAAACACAAGAGTGCAGTAGCTGCATACGGATGCATCCGTAGCTGTAGAGGTAAGGTGCACCTTCAACTTTTATCATGGTATATAATTTTGATGTAAAATGTTCTTAGAATTATCTCAAAATCCATTTTATATGTAATTATAAAATTTTATATTTAAAAAATGGTTAAAATCAAATAGATCTATAAATATATGAAAATCTTGAAAATGGACGGTGTAGATAATATGTTGTAAAATGCACTATTTCGGAGATTCAAAATCTTTTTATTTTTCACGGTCATACATCTCGATGTCGAGATGATCAATTAAAGAGTTTTTCAACATTAAAACTACCTTTTCCGATGAATTTTTGAGGGGCATCCGTAGTTCTACATTATAAGGTTGCATCCTTATATAAACTTTTTCCAAAACACAAAGTCCTGACCTCTAGCAAAGGAAAACGCATCACACAAAAACACTGGATCTGCAATGAAACCAAGAAATCGAGAAACGACACCCAAAAGCAAAGCTTTGGGCTTCCTGCAAAAAAAAACCTAGATCTTATTAGAATTGGTGTCCTTAGCTTTGGAGCTTGGGTAGGAGCTATATTATATTTCTTTTAGTATTGGTTGAAAGGATATCAAATATTTTGTAAAGAGAGTTCATAGCATATTCCTACAAGAGCACATTTCATACTCAGCTCCTTCAGGTAAAAGACCCGAAAAAATGGGCTTTTTTATTTTCTTATTATTGAAATTGTGAGATAAACTTTACAACCACGAGAGAAATATTTTAAGAAAAAAATTGATTTCAAGTTTTAAAACATTTAGATCTCACCATTCAAAAATTAAACAATCTTCATTCAATCTTATAAATTTATTTTTTAGGCACAAATAGCTGTAAAAATATCATTTTTTTCCCCTCTGGAGTATATAATCTTCATGTAATCTTTAAGCTTCCTAAAATCTGTTTGCATTCTCTTCTGATCTTCACCTTGTAGCATTCCACTGCACTAAAATGGAAATCATCAGGGAACATAATGTAAGGCATACCATGAAATACCACGAGAACATATTCTCTCCTTTCTCAATAAAGAAAGGTCTAGGCTTTATAAAAACAAAATAAAGCTTCACCTCAAATCCCCGTCTGAAAAGCACTTTCAATAACGGAAATCTCCATAATTGCTCTTACTTCAATTTCCATCACCGATTATAAAATTCGAAACTCAAAAAATAATACAGATGTTGTGGATCTATGAACACTTATTTTTAGGGTGAAATAGACGATATAGATAATTTGTAACAATATACATTATTTTTAAAGCTTGAAATTTTTTTGTTTTTACAACCGGAGCATTCAAACCAAGAAAATTGATATAAAGGGTTTCTAATGCTTGAATTGTAATTTTTGGTGAATTGTGAGGTGAGGCGGTACTTGTTTTGATACGACAGCAGCCCTATCAAACCATTGAAAAAGCTATAGTCAACAATTGCCATTTGTCTTTTGGAAATGATGCACCTATGGTGTACCATAGAACGTGCACCAAAATGGTGCATGATATAATTTTACCTCATCAAAATAGGAAAAACCAGCGTTTAAAAAAACGTCAACTCGCCCGGTTCGACTCGGGAATCGCCATGGACGGATCGAATTGGCGAAAAAAACGGAAATCGTCCGGTTCTAGAGAGAACCAGACGATTCTGTACACTGACTCGCCGATTCACTGTACGAAATCGGCGAGTCCGTACAGTGAATCAACTAGTCCCGTATGGAATTATTATTTTTTTATTTTATTTTTGTATTTTTGTAATCCATAATAGATTTTTTTGTAATACTTGATCGATTTTTTTATAATCCATGATCGAATTGTTTTTTTTTTGTAATCCATGATCGAAATTTTTTTTTTTTTGTAACCCATGATAGAATTTTTTGTAATCCATGATCGAATTTTTTGTAATCCATGATCGAAATGTTTGTTTTTTTTCTTGTAATCCATGATCGAATTTTTTGTTTTTTGTTTTTTTTTTGTAACCCATGATAGAATTTTTTGTAATCCATGATCGAATGTTTTGTAAT